AAGCAGCACCAGAAATGCTTGCAGGGATTTCCACTTTGCCTTTGGAAAGATATGCATATTGTTGGTAGACAAAAAAGCTGTGGGCTGATGATCCACATATGTTAGGGGACAGGGAGGGGAATGAGCCCCGTGAGGCTTCTACAGTGATGAGTACAAGAGTTCAGCTTTGGCCAAAACGTTCAGTCCCTTTGAAACAGGGATCTTCAGCTGTTGTAATCGGGAATGTTGTGATGTGAGCTGCAATTACTGCTGCTCAGGAGGACATTTCCAGCCCTGGGTCTGAGCTTTCACCCAGCACATGGGTCTCTATGCTGCTTATGCCCTGGCATCCCAGAGAGCTGTCAGACTTATTTCTGCATGTGGGGATTCTTCAGGTGAGACTTAATGAAGGGAAGGATTTTGTTGATTCTTAAGGCAGCAATTGTTTGTGACACTGATGAATGTGATGTTACCTTGAAATATGAACTTACCATCAGCTGGGAGCATCAGTCAAGAAAAGAACTGGCACTTAAAATCCATGCTGTTCACAGTCTATATATTGCAGGCAGCTGTAAGTGAAGCCTCAGCTGCCATGACAATGCTCTGGGGGCAGAGTGGGGCGTGGAGGCTGATGGACACACGATGGCAGCTACAGAGAGGGGTCCCCTCAGATGCCAGCACCAGCCAACGCCTCCAACAGGGTTAACTGCCTGGGACAGCCAAGGGCAGACCTGAGCTGTGGACTCCTAATGCAGAAACTCCTTTGCTCATAATCTGTGGGGCTGACTTTTAGAATAAAGCCAAGAGTGCTCTGATGGTAGTCTGAAATACTGATATAAATGGTGGAAGGAATGGATGTCTGTAGTATAATGCAGAGGTATATAATATCTGTAGTATATATAATACACATGCAGACATTTTTCTTCCTGGCACATCAAGAGTTTTAAACCAAATGAGTACAAGTGCGATTTACTTAAGAAAAAGTTAGGGACATTGCACTGGAAATAAAACTGGTTATATTACTTTACCCCAAAATAATATAATTGATACCTTTGGGTGTCTAGCCTCTCTAAACAGTGGCATGTTTTTGTGGCCATCTTGGCCAGGTTTGTTGTTTCTGCTTGATGAACTGCACACAGAGCAGTGGATCTCCAAGGAATGATTTTTTTTGCCCTTTGGAAATGTGTGTGAAAGGGACAGCAGCATATGGACTTGGCATGCCCCAGGCATGGCTGTGGGAGCCTGGGAACATTTTGTGCCTGCAGCAAGTGTAGGAAGAAGGGAGGAGGAGAGTGGAGCAAGCGACTGCAATGAGCTGTGTGGTGATGGCAGGGATTACCCCTCTTCATCACAGCTGAGGTGAGGAACAGGCCTCGGACCATGCCCCTTCCTTGCCTCGTGGGTCACAGCAGAACTGGGAGATTCTCATGAAGAGCCACAGGCAACATCTGGACCAGAGAGTGCAGATAAAATTGCTGGCCACAGCAAAATCAAGGCAGGTGCTGAAGGAAGGGACAGAAGAGGGGCTGGCTTTGGAAGCTCAGCTCTGTCAGCAGTCAGAGATTTCAGTTGTGAGTGGAGGCAGAAGCGTGCCATGGCTTTTTCAAATGTTCTACCATAAGATGCTTTTATGGATCAGAAACTCCAAGTGTTGTACAGAACAATGAGCTAAAAATGAGATCGTAGAGCTCTTGCACAAATTGCAGGTGAGCATACCACAGCCAGAGGAGCACACACAGCACACTTGCACAGAAAGCCTGAAAGAGGCTGCAGGTGGCCATATCCTGCACAGCAAGTCTGCAGCACGCTGCCTGAGGCAGGGCAATTGCTGCTTGCAGCTGTAATGGCCGTGCATTCGCTTTCTCATTATGGATCTTGGAGAACAACCCCCTCAACTTGAAAATAGCATGTATAATAACATGTACAGTTATATACAGTTGGTTTTTCTCTGCCCCAAATGTGTGATGCACCCCTGGGAGATCCAGTGAAAGGTTCATATGCCTTTCGGTAGGTGTTATTGCCCACCTTAATAGATGTTCTGATTCACTTACAAGAAGTACTGATAGAGGCTGGGCCTGTGTCCCACTCTGACACCCTGAGCAGGAGATGCTCTCACTTTTTAATTTTGCTATCTCTCTCTTTTGCTTGAAGCACTGGGGTGGATCAGTGCCAGACATACCTGCAGAGAGGAGGGCGTGACACCGCACCATCACCGCTCACCATTCCTGCTGGATGCTGTCTTGTGTGTGTTCATGTGCTGGTGATTGTTCCCATGCCCTGGCATTGAATATCACGTTCCATTTCTGTGAAATGATGCTGATTTGCAGATAACAATCTCTCCCCAGACCTATGCCTGCCCCAGTAACTGCTGGGAGCCCCACAAGCCCTGGCAGGGGTGCCAGAACTCCCCTGTGTGCCAGGCTACCACAGTGCTTGCTCATGGAGCAGGGAGAAGCATGAATGGGGGCAAATTTTACATTTATTTTAGTCAAGAACATTCAGGGATGTTAATTGCTGAGCTGTCATCAATTTCAGTGACTGCAGAACCCGATTAGCCTCTAAGTTTCATGCTAATACCGTTGTCAGCTCTCTGTACCTCACCTGTGGTACAGAAAAGGTGGAGCAGTTTAGATGTGGCTCCACAGCTGTTTTGTCTGGGTGGTGGCTTCCTAGAATCTGACACGCAGCAGGAAAATTGGGGCAGCATTTGGAAATGGTTTGAAAGGCCCTGGGGTTTTTACACCATTTTTTTTTTATTGTTGTCCCACCGCTGCCACACACACATATGGCTCACATGGGTGCCAGCCCTCATGAGGCACAATTTTCCCTTGGCTGACTCCTCACCTGGAAAAAGATAAGGCTCAACACAGCCCTGTTGGAGCTAACTCACAGATCTGAAGAGGGGAGGCTGCTAATTGCAGGATGCCATAGACATGCACCCTGTACCTGTAAGCAGCGAGGAAGAACCGGAGTGTTCTTCAGGCAGTGGCCAGCTGCAGCTTTCTGGGAGGCACCTGGAAGGATGGTCAGCTCTGTCCCGCTTCTGCTGCATGGTGTGAGTGCAGCCAGGTGCTCTCCTGGACGTGGGTGCTGTGCTCTGTGCACCCCTGCTCTGGGTTGCAGCACTGGGGTCAGCCTGCCCAGATCCATCAACACTGTCAGGGGAGGGAATTCCAACTGTGCCTGCACTTAATGGCATTTTTCTTGCAGTTATTTCTGCACAGCTCTGGTCTCCCCTTGTTTTTCCTCCTGGATCTTGAACTGGTATAAAAGTGGTGCCTGATAGAAACACCTGGGCACAGTTGGGTTTGGTGCACAGCAGGGAGGTTGGTTCTTTTCTGGAAAATACCAAACACTTAGGTGGGAACAAGGGGGAGATGAGTGCCAACATCCGTACCAGGAGCTCAGCACTTCTATCCAGTGGAGCTGTGGCACGGAAAGAATGTCCATAGGATGTAGAAATTGATTTAAACATGTATTTAATGCTGATGAGTGGGCCCACAGCACAGGCTTTCTGACTTGGAAGCCAGTTGCTGAGATGGAGTGGCTGAGCTTTATTTGCAGAGAATTGTTCTCCAGTGGATTTGCAGGTGCAACACAATGACATGTTAACATGTTTGGGCTTCCCTGTTGTGCTCTCAGCCATCCTGGAGGATGCCTGGAATGCCATAACGAGTTTTCCACAAAGAAACTCAGTGAAGCTTCAGAAATCTCCACTGGCTCATGCTGCTTCTGAGACATGTCCAAGCTGATGGTCACATATGAATCTTTACAGCTCCTTTTGAAGGTTTGAAGGCTTTGTTTTCCAGCAGAAGAGATTTTCTGGGTGCTATTTGTGCTGGACTGACCTTCAAATAAAACTATTACCAAGACCTGACAACAGAGTAGGTATGGCAGCCCTGTAAAGGAATGGATAATCTCCCATCTTTAAATACACTTTCTATTTATGTTGGCAGTGCACAGGCTTCTGAGGATTTTACCTGCTATCCTAGACTAACACTTCAAAACTTTTCTGCATATCTCTTTCTACTTAAAAACTTCTTAACTGAATAATGTGAATTGGTGGATACATCACTACCTGTTGAAGCTCACAGCTGAAGCATGTTCAAAAGGGAAAGGAAATATTTGGAAAGTATTTTTTTACTATCAATAAGACCTGGGAACTGTATCAGTTGTATTGAGGGGATATACCAGTTGTTCATGCAGCTTAATTTTTCATGGTTAGTTTATTTTTCACGTTTATCAGAATGTTTCAGTTCATACCTCAGACACTCAGTCTCTGCAAGTGTCAGGGTCCCCTGGAGGGGCCAGCAGCTCTGTGTGCCCCCAGTTCAGCTGGCAGACATCTGCCTTCTGTTAGGAGAAACATGATCTTCCTGCTGCCTTGGACCTGTGGAAGGGGGTGGGAACGCTCTGAAACTGCTGCTTAAACTTATTTTGTAACACATAACCCAGGATTTCAGAATAAATAAGCAAAATATACAATGAAATAAGTTGCCTGCATTTTCTCAGAAAAAAAAAGATGAGCATTTTCAAGGAAAAAAATTATCCTTTTCCACACCCTTTTGTAGAAGCTGCTGTGGATGCCAGGTTGGTTGTTACCCCTGGGATTGTCTGCTGGGGACTAGGCCACAGAGGGATGGTGGAGACTGCCTTGGTTTGACCATCTGACTCCAGATCTGGCTTCTGGCTTTCTCTGACACTGCCAGTGCAATCAACAGGGCCTGGCTGGAGTTAATTGAATTAAATGGGACACTTGCCAGGGACACCAGTTATCTCCTGCAGTCATTAGCACAAGAAGGGTGTAAGGATTAGCTCTTGTTTACTGTCTCAGGTGTTAGTGGTACCAGCGACATGTTAAGGTCTTGTCAGCAGCAGCATGTTCTGGAAGAGACAGAAGCCTCTTTAGCTGATATTACCCATATAATTTCTTTTAAATGCAGGTATTCCTCATTGGAATAATTTTATTTTAGTCCTTGCTTCGAATAGTTTAATGAGTTTAATTTCATCTCTCATTTCAGGGGGTCAGCAAAGGTGTAGGACAGGTACACTCACCTGTCTGACTCACAGCACTTCCCAAAGATTCACTCTCCAGCCCTTGGAACCTGCTTTGCCAGCCCGGGGAGCATGGCCATGGTGTGGGGTGAGTGATGCAGAGAAGTCACTGCCTCTGGTGGTTCTGGGTGTTGTTGGTATCACATGAAGTCTGCAGTGGGGGGGAAGGACCTGGGCTTTTGATTTCTGAAGGCTATTGCTCTGATAAATAAAGAAAAGATTTAACTACTGGAAGAAAGTGTGGGGATTTGCTCTTTACATTCTGGATGAGAACTTCTGGTCCTGAAGGTCTGCACAATTACCGAGGAAACAATGGGCACATGCCCACGACTCAGTGGCAGTGGTCCCAGGAAGGGCTGCTGCTGCTTCCTGGGGCTGGGGAGTGTCAAGTCACGGGCAAAAGCGGTGAGAAAGTGCTTTGAGAGCTGCTGAGCTCAGACTCCCCTGCCACCCACAGTGTGCAGGGCTGGGATTGCAGCCTCTGTGCGGGGGCTTTGGGGGGTCCCTGGGAGCAGGGCAGCCACCCCTGGGAGGGGACAGAGCCCAGCCCCTGGGTCAGTCTTGCCCTGGGCATGGCAGGGAGGTTCTGCCAGAGCCAGGGGAGCTGTGGCTGATCCAGGGCCCTCGGAGGGTGGGAACAGCCAGCACAGCAAACCTTGACTCGGCATATCCATGGATTCATCCTGCCAGAACCCCTTGCCACGGGCAGGCTCTGTGGTGACGCTGCCAGCCCACGCTCCACGCAGCCCTCTGCACGCTCTGGCTGCTGCAAAAGGCCCCCTGCTTTGGGGAGTCATTTCAAACTCTCTTTGAGGGGTCTTAAAAATTGCTGAACTTCCAAACTAAGTTCTTGGGACTGAATATTTATTGTTTAACTCAGCATGAAATGTAAAACAAAGCCTAAAACCAGGGATGCTTTTGATTTTAGTGTAAAAGCTGACAGCATTTTTAATTTATACAGTATTTTAGTAGTGAATGCTTAAAATTATTCTGGTGTTTTGTGTCCTCAGCTGTTTTTCTCTGTACTGTGGTTAGCCCTAGAATCTGCGTTGGAATGAGTAACATGCAGAGGTCTGAGACTTGAGACAAGCTCAGCCTGGAGTGCTTTAAGGCCTGGTAGGGAAGGGATTTTCTGGCAGTGCCGTGGGGTCAGAGCCGCACTGTGGCTCCGTTATTGTGGTTTATGCCTCCTTTGTGCTCACAAGACTATAACAGAGTCAACTTTCACCTGCTTGGAGCCTGCCAGGATTACCAATTTGAGTCCATTCTGCTATTGGGCAATTGTTCATTTCCATGGATAAGTCAGAGTTAATGTTGTGTGGCGATGAGAGTGCGGGTCAGTGCAGGGTCAGCGAGGTGCTGATGGCCACTCTGGGGCTACTGGCCATGACCTTGGCACAGACTGCCAGCCCAGTGCTGATGCCAAGGCACAGCTCTTAACATCTCCTATACTCTGCAGTAGTATCACGAAATATAAATATACAGCACTTGGGCAAAGCCAAAAATCCACAAAATGCCTTTTGTTCTCTTTAACAGAGTCACATCAACGTTTCTTTCATGTAAAATGTCCATAGGGCTTTGCTGCTTCCACAGTGAAGTGCATTCCAAGCAGTAGCTGCAATAACTAGTACAGAGAATTACATTATTATCGTGCTGTCCTGCAGCAAAGGCAGTGCTGGCTGCAGCTCTGGAGGCTGGCACTGATGCACTTGCACTGCACAGCCATCACTTTCTCAAATGCATATGTCACTTACGTTTTCCTTAACTAGAATTTCAGCTATTCCTGCCTCTTCACATGCCTCTGCACAAATGTCTGACCAGGAGCATTGCCATGTCTGGAGCTGTGTGGAGGCTGTTTGCAGAACCCAGGAATGCAGCCTCAGGAACAGAACCCTGCACAGGCAAACTTGGCAGAACCTGGGCAGTGTCTGGAATCTGGGGAGATTCTGGGAATCTGGGACCAGGAGCTGACCCCACTGTTACTGACTGGTCTTGCATTCCCAGGAGGACAAAAGAGGGCCTTGATTGCCAGGTTTGCAGTTTAAAAAAAACCTTTGCTTTAATGAATGTACAGCCTAAGTGTCATCCTTCTCCACTCCGGGTTGTTTTTCAGAAAACAAGACCAGTTTAGGAAATTTAAATCTCTCCAAAAATAGAAATTTTATCTAGAGAAGTCACTCTGTGCTTCCATACTTAGTATAAACCAAATTTATTTGTTTCTGTAGTTGAAATTGCATTACTAAAGAGCATAGTTTCTTTAATGTTGTTTGATGTTTTTGTCTGGTTTTGAATGGAAGTTGGGATTATGTTATGTGATTGTCTTGTGGCTGTAACACTTGTTAGTTCATTTAAATTAATGTTTTGGTTTCTTACTTATTTTTCCCAAATTTTATTGGTTTGTTAGGAATAATACCCAGATTTGTGATGCTGAGAAGGTAAAGCTGCAGCATAAGCCCACCTGGAATCCTTGTCATAGCAGAAATGCACCAGGAGCAACCACAGACAGGCAGGTTCACCAGCACTCCAGTGGCCTGTGTGTTTGTGTGTCTGTTTGTGGGTCTCATGATTTTCAGGTTGTTTTTTATTTCCTGATGCAACTGAAAAGTCAGCCTTTTTTAGAAAAGTGTAGAAACTAATGAGCAGTGTGTTTGAAAACCTCAGCCATTCCCAGCACACAGGTGAGTGATACAAACACAGGTGACACAGGTGGAGATGGGCATCTTGGAAAGAAAACATCAAAGGAATCACACAGTGGTCAGGGGTGGGCAATTCACAGGGCCAGGGCCTGGAGACTTGTGCAAAGAAAACCACCCTGTTCTTCACTCCGTGCCAGTGAGCTTCAGTTCATGAAGAAAGTAGCTGGAAAAATTAGCCAGGAATAGATGACCTTTCAAAAGGCCTCTAATATACAGTTACCTGATGTTCACTGAAGTGGTTCACATGCTTCCCACCCTAAATGATTTCTAGGTTCACCCATGTGTGAAAAAGGGTCTGATTTTATGGAGGAGGACAATTGAGGAAAGAAACTTCAGAAAGGAGAGAAATACGCCAGAGAATTTTACTGGTTGGTTGCTCCAAGGGAAGAAAAGGGCAAATCTATGCAGCCACCTCAAAGTCACCTTTTGACTTTGAATTTTAAAAGAAAGGAACATGGGAGAGCTCCGAGGTATTGACTGCACTTGACAGAAACTGTTCCATGGAGATAGGAAATTTGGGATCTAGTGGAATTTGCTTTTTTAGTCAGATGACAAGTTCTTTTTTTGTCCCCCCAGTACAACAAAATTATTACAACTCCTGTTTTCCTTACTGCCTTTTCTTTCCTTCTGCCCTGGGTCATCTGGTACAGGAGATCCCTTGCCTGTGTGGCCACCAATGCTTACACCAGGGGCTGGCCATGTCCCCTCTGCAGAGTTTCAGCTCTGATCCTGGGCCAAAGCCAGTGAATTATCTGGGGCTGCAATCTCTAGTGGGCTTTAGGCAAAATACTTTTCTAAGGAAATTATTTTTCTAGCTAGCACAAGTGTCTGTGCACCTTTCCAGTGGCAGCTGTGCCCTGGTGCACACAGCAGTGTTCTCTTCACTGCCCCCAGCAACACGGGGGGAAGAGACCACCCCCACGTGGGAAAGCAGCAGCATTCAAAATCCCAAAGGCTTTTTGAAACCAGGGAATGGGATTTCCACATATGATGAGGGAGCACACTGGGTAATAGAAACTATACTTGTATGGAAGAAAATTATTTTAAATAACCTTGGAACATAACAATTTTAATCAACAAAAGCAAGTGACAGTTCCCTTCCCCATCTGCATTATATGACAAAACAAAGTCCCTGAGACAGGTCAGACAGACAAGAGCATCAATGTGGCAGTTGTAGCACTGAAACACTTTTCATTTGGTCAAGTATCTAAGCATCTTTGTGGGGAAAAAGCCCCAAAGTTTAACTTTGGATCCAAAGCATTAGACCTGCAATGCCACAGAATTCTGTGACTTTGGAAATGTTCTATTGTTTTTCAGTATGAGCTCATGAACCTGGAATGAAATTGTCCTTTGGGGACAAAACAAAATAGATGAAAAATAAATGCTCAGGTCTAGAGACCAAGGGGGTCCTGAGCCATGGTCTTTAATATGTTTGTTTTTCATCAAGTTCAGGAGCAACTTTGAGCAGGATTTTCTGCAATTGAGTAAGACAAAAAAATTAATATTAAAAATAAAAGAAGAAACCTGAACAAGATTTTTTCAGAAAGCCATTTATTTTCCTATATAGGACATCCAGATCCAAAAGTGAATGGTGAGTCAGGAGTGTTCTCAGGCACATGGTTCCAGCAGCAGCAGCTCCCAGGCTCCTCTGACTGTGGCTCTGCTGGAAGGCAAGTCAGCTTGAGCTCACAGCAGATAAATGTGGGATGATGTGGAGCTCCTCAAGCTTCTGCCTCCTTCCTTTGGAGGCCACGCAATGTGCACGTGTTGTTCCTGAACTCATACTTCTTCTGGAGATTTGTTTGCTTGATCCTTAAATTTCTGTGTTTGTCTCCAGTGGGCAGAGCTGTGCCAAGCTGCCAGCAGCGGGCAGGTGCCTCAGCTTCCCCCAGGGGCTGCACACACATCCCTGCCAGCTGACCCCAGAGGAGCTGAGGGAGCCACGAGGGTGCCAGGAGTGCAGCCACACACAGCCCCCAAGCTCTGAGGGCAGTGTGCTGACGAGCCAGCCATGGCACAGAGGCTGAAAGATGGGAGAGTTTCTCCTGGAGCCTGCTCCTAACTCTCCATGGCCCTGTTTGGGAATGGGCTGCAGTCACTACATGCCTTTAGCTTGAACTTGCACTTCAGCAGAGGAAGAATGGAAGAAATGTTCCGAGAGAAAATTCCATTTATGTCTTCTGCCACCTGCTAATGGCATATGGGAGCTGCTGCATGCCAGTAGCCGATGGCAAAGATAACATCAGTGTGGGGGAAATTGTGCAGTGCTGGAAATGAGACTCATGTTCCAGATGACCTGATAGTTCAGTGCCTGCTGGGGCCGGGTGTGGGGCCAAGCTCTGCTCACCAGCCCTCACACATCACACCCAGTCTGATGGCCTTGTTGGAATCC